TCCTTTGTCCCTGCTCTAGCTTAGGAATTTCATCATGGATCACCTTGAACTGGTGAAATCACCTCCAACCTCCTAACTGGTTGCTCTGCCTCTGGTCTTGTCTCCTTCAAATCTATCTTCCATGGGAGTAGCCATGATTTTTTAGAAAATAAAAATAGAAATCTACTAAGGTCCATTCCACACTTGTAACTTTTCAAAAGCCCAAGCTACTTAATATGGCACACAGTCCCCTCTGTCTTATATTTCTTGTCTTATTGCTTTGCACACCTCTCATAATTTTCTTGGATTGTCTGTGTATGTGTAAGACCCTAACTCAAGTTAGAGTTCCCTAATGGTTGGTGTGTACTGCTTTATAGTCTCCATACCTAGCACAGTGCCTGGCATATAACTAGCCCCTTTCTAGAATTTGAACTGAACTAGGTTTCTGCTATTGTTTTGCATTTGTATGTGTCTTTGTTCTTAAACTTTCATGTGCCTGTGTCTTGCTTCTTCAATTGTATAGTGTGTATGGATTTTTAAGGCTATTTACAAATGTTCTTCTTCTCTTTCTTCTTTGTACATTGTAGAACATCATAGAGTTTTATTTGCCACCACTTTAAAGTTAGGGATGGCCATATGATCTGTTCTGGCTAATGAAATGTGAACAGAAGTAGCAGTGCCACGTCCACGAGAAAGCATTTAATTGCTCACCACAAAATACTGCCACTATCTTGTCCTCTTGCTGTAAGGGATGCATAAGGAGAGGAGAAGGAGGCTTCATTAGTTCTTGAGTGACCAAGGTGAGCAGAGACTTCTGCTGACCTGTGCTTGAAGTAAAGTATGAGCAGGAAAGAGACATTACTAATACAAGGAGAAGTGGGGATTATTTATCATGGTCACATAATCTAGCCTATCCTGACTGCTCCATTCCCTTCACCACTTATCTTTGTGTCTCCATAGCACCGCATTCAAAACAGACTAGAATTGTATTTAATTTTTTCTAATTTTTTTTGAGTCAGGGTCTCTGTCACCCAGGTTGGAGCGCAGAGGCATATCCACGGTTCTCCACAGCCTAAACCTCCTGGTTTCAAGCAATCCTTCCACCTCAACCTCCTGAGTAGCAGTGACTGCAGACACATATCACCATACCTGGCTAATTTTTTTTTTTTTTTTTTTTTTTGCAGAGACAAGGTCTCACCATGTTCCTAGGCTAGTCTCGAACTCCTGGGCTCAAGCAATCCTCCCACCTTGGCCTCTCAAAGTGCTGGGATTAAAAGGGTGAGTTACTGCACCCAGCCTGATTTCTGATTTTTCTTAATTCACAATGGCCAATTCAAATATCCTTCTCCCATCTGTTTCTGCTCTCAGTATTAAAGCACAATTTCTACTCTTTTTAGTTCAACCATTTCTAAAATATAGACATTAAAATTTCTAACCAGTTCACAATCTGGTGTTGTTGATCACTTGTGTAACATTTTGTAGAGAAGGAAATGTCACCCTCTCACGATGGACTGGATGATCCCTTCAGTCAACTGTAGTCAGTGTTCTCCAGGGACTATGGGAAGGGATGCTCCGAGCACATGCCCTGCAGCTGGGCAGCAGAGCAAAGTGGTTGTCATAAGTCAGCTACCTTGGGGCTGTGTGTGTTACAGCACAGGTCTGCCTGTATTCTCTCTGTCCTGGCAGATGGCACAACATGGCAATAAATACAATGAATGTATTATACCCCACTTGCTTTCACATGACTTTTTAAAAAAGCCTTCGCTTTTGAGCACATACTTCTATGTGCAGAAAAAAAAAGTCCTCCATGATCCTTTTTAAACTCCATATTTGAACAATGGAATATTTTTTAAAAAGAGGGAAGAGGTTCCAAGACAGAACATCTTCCTTAAAGAAATATGTTTATACACTCTCTACAATCCTCATGGTAACTTGAAAGGCACATTCTCTTTCCTCACGTAAATTTACTATACAATCACTCCAATTTTATTTCATGCACATCAACACAGAGCTAGTTACTATATGCACTAGCTCATTAAGTGAAAGACAAAGAATTAGCAGCCTTTTCTTACTATTTTCTTCTACCTACTAACAGTCCTAACACAATTCCTGTGACTTCCTCTATCAGCCACACCTCCAAACATACCTTTTCATAGGAATAGGTCAGCTAATAACAACCCATCTGCTTAATATACTGAAATTTAAAATGAAGCTCATAGGCACTGTTTCGATGGCTATACGTTTTCTAGAATCAATTACAAATTTTCAGCAAGAGTTGTCACAAAACTTTGATTTTTAGCTTGATGCTTTCATATATACAAATGTCAGGTATATTATTTTGGGGAAAAAATATGTATGCATTTACCACAACTACAATGTAATTTCTCTAAAGATTCTTTCTGAAAGACAAACAAATCTCCAAATGAAAAATATGCTTGTAGGCTTTTAATTTTTATTGATTTTTTTTTTTAACAAAATCAACCTAAAGAAAAAAATCCAATATTTTCTTTCAACCTAAACAAAGTATTTAGGGACCACATGGAATATGGTACAAGTGCAAAAACATACATACAAGAAAATGTGAGTGTTCAGGCCTATCCTGTGAATGAAATGATATTTCTTGCCCTGTGTTACCATTAACTAAGCCCTGTAGTAGGGAAAACCCCTTGTTTTGTTAGGATAAGCCACTGAGTCGACTGTTGTTTTGCACATTTTATTTACTGTTTAATTTTTATAGAGACAAGGTCTTGCTATATTGCCCAGGCTGGTCTCTAACTTCTGGACTCAAGTGATCCTTCTGTCTTGGCCGTCCTAAGTGGTGAGATTACAGGCATGAGCCACCACACCAGCCTATTTTGTACATTTTAAAAACTATCAGTACAATACCAAGAAGAATCACAAAGGAAAAACTGATACACTAACATACACAGGTATTTAAAACTTTAATGCCAAGTTAAATATTTTATTAAACATCTGTATTATCTAAAGCTTCTATTACAAACACCTTATGCTTGTAACAATTTTCTTCTTTTTATTTTCCTTCTAAAGAAAAGCACTTTAAAATTAAGCACAGAACTAGGGCTCCTATCTAAAGGTATCCATAAGTCAAATTTCATTCCAATTGATTCAACATGGCAGATTATATGTGAAGAGGAAAACGGTTGGTAACCATAGGCAGCAACTATTGCTTCTTTCCTGGTTGCTTCTGCCTACACAGAAAATTGATCAAGGAAGATGTTTACAACCCTATACATACTCTACATAATTTCGGCCATGAAATCACAATTTTCCATACCTGCATATATATTATTTTTAAAATGAAATTAGACGCCTGGACAAAACTTTTGGGAGTGCAGGATATACCAGGCAGTGGAAGAGAAATTGACATCAACTTCACGGAGAGCCCCTAAGTAAGAAAGCATCACTTTTCCCTAAGTCAACTCCTGGTTACATACTGGAAAATGCAGCAAGTGAAGAAAATCAAGTCTGAACACAAAAACAGGGACACAACTGTAAAATAGCTAGGCTGGCGGGGGTAGGGCCGAAATGGCTGCATGCCACAGCACTGAAATGCCTACTACAGCCACATATTTGCAATCAGTTTGGCAGTGTTTCCAACACAGGCTGAGGGATTTATTTTTCCCCATATAAGGCAATGACAAGTATTTCAAATGAACCAAACATTTTATATTAGTGTCAACAGCATTAACACAGCTTCAGCTGGCAGAAGAGAAGAAAACCAAGAATATCTGTATTATTCACTCCAGAGAAAATGCCAGAGTACCATCTGTTCTCAGCCATCCCCACCCACTGATGTGACCCTTTCTGCAGGGTACCCTTGTCTAGCTCTGTGAGTCCCCAAGCCATGTGTCTTGGCCCAAGAATTTCAAATCCCAATATATTCCCTAATTACAAAGATTTGGAAAGTTCATTTCAAAAGAGCAGTTGGGACCACAGAAGACACTATACTTTAATGCTGCAAAGTGTTTTTATTTGTCCAGCTGCAAAAATGATTTGATCCTCTAACCTTCTTTCTAAGGTTGAATGCAATGCTTTTCCTACACAGTGTGGTGGGTGGTGGGGAGGAGAAGAGAGATGGTAGGGGGGACAGAAGGGGCTAGATTACACATCATGGAAAATCAATACTTTTGCACTCTAAGGTCTATGAACTGGTTCAAGGTCACAGAAGGTAAATAAGAAATCCAACTGAATTAGCAATAGAACATAGCTTACACAGAGCAAAGACAAGTTTCCAAAATATCAGCAAACCATATATGATGTCTATATTCATGTCTAGTTGATTTTTACGGAAACACTGACCATTCAGGAAATAAACTGTATACCTCTGAAAATCAGGTTAATGATATTAGTAAGTTAATCAAGACCAAAGCAAGAGCCAATAGTAATCACTGTCTTATATTTGATCTATATGGAATGAAAAGGGGAATATTAAAATGAGACCCCTCCAGAGAGAAAACTCTTGGAATTTTTCATTAAAAATTTAAACAACACATTTATATAGAAGTAGCTCAAAATTTATTTATAGATTTGCTTAAAAGAGTATACAAGATTTATTTTTCTATTGTGCATATTTGTACCCCCAGATTAAGAAAGTAGGGATTAAAATCTAAAAAGACACCAAAGCTTCCCCAAACCTGATCTGAGAATTAGATAAGAATTAGTCACTTAGACAAGCTTGTAGCGCCCACAGCTCTCACCAACTTGAAAGCATCAAGCAATTCCCTGTTTTTCTATCTTACTAGCATTGCTCTAATTATACTCCCCATAAGAGGCAAAACCAATTAGAAAAATAATGTAACATTTCATTGGCAGTAGAGATTAAATACGAATTCAGTAATCAGCTCCTGCAAATGGTAACAGGGAGAAATTAGTCAGCCCTGACTGCTCAATCAAGAGGGTGGGCAGTTGAAGTCGAGGTAAAAATAGTGAGGCTGAACAAAATTGCATTAAGGAAAAGCATCTCATGAGGTTTTTCAAGGTCAGTTGACAAAGGCCAGATGAAAGTAAATCTTTCTCAAATACCCTGAAAGAAAAAGAAAACAAAAATTAACCACAAACAGCAAAATAGAGTTCAAAGTCTTTGTAGTCCAAAATGAAGTTCCTTCAAAGAACACTCTTATTGCATCAAGCTAAAATGACCATTTAAAAAAAAATTTTGAGTACCAGTGAAATGATTTAATTTTCAAGTCACATTGCATTTGATTCACAAAACCGTCTCAGTCAATAATATAATGACCTGTCAAGTGACGCCTTATTGACTGTGTTCTTAGAGACAGGATAACACAGGTCACAAATAATAGAGTTCAAAAATGTTGTCACCCCCGTTATAGTTACCACAAGGACAGGATGAGCACAATGTAGAGCAGAGCAATTTAAATGGAAATGTCTCAAACAGAGTTGCACTGTATTATGCAGCAGAGAGGTGACTTCGAAGAGGACCTTGAGATGGGGGTTAGACTAATGAGTCCCCACTCCCACCCTGTGCAAAGGGTCAAGAAATCTCCACAAAGTCTTCCACAGAGCTGGGTCAAGCTACATTTGGAATACAGACTAGTGCTGTTTTTTCTAACACTTAGAGAAATTAAAATCTCAAGTTGCCTCATAGGTCATGGCAGATGCTTGCTTAACTGCCCTTGAAGTCAGAGGATTTAGAGTTTCCACAGCATCCCAAAGAATCTCACTGTATCAGAGAAAATATCATTTGAAGTGGTTTTTTTAATGTAAGTGTCCCATCCTGGGTGCTTTGTGAAAACTAATGACTACTTTAGAAAAATTGAAAGGCAGTTTTGAATTACAAATTTTAGCAAGAGTTGTCACAAAACTTTGATTTTTAATTGGATGCTTTCATATATACAAATGTCAGGTATTTTATTTTGGGCAAAAATATGTCTGCATTTATTACAACGGCAATATAACTTCTCTAAAGATACTTTCTGAAAGAACAAAATCTCCAAATGAAAAATAAGCCCGTCGGTTTTTAAATTTTATTGGTTTTTTAACAAAATCAACCTAAAGAAAAAATCCAATGTTTTCTTTCAACCTAAACAAAGTATTTGGGGGCCACTGGAATATGTTATAAGTGTAAAGACATACACACAAAAAATGTGAGTGTTCAGTCCTATCCTATGAATAAAATGAGATTTCTTGCTCTGTGTTGCCTTTAACTAAGCATAAAAAAATTCCATAAGGTTGAAATCTTGCCATGTACATTCTCAGACTACAGTGGATTAAAAATAAATATCAACACCAACAAAATTTCCCCAAAGCCCACAAAGACATGGACACTAAACAGCATGATGCTGAATAACTACTGGGTCAATACTGAAATCAAAGCAGAAATTAAAAGATTCCTAGACACAAATGAAAATGAGGAAACATCTTATCAACTTCCAGGATGCCATGACATCAGTTCTAAGAGGGGAAATTATGTCTCACACTAATACCCAAACCAGGTAAAGATCCAGCAAAAAAAGAGAACTTCAGGCCAATATCCTACAAGCACACATCAAGAAAACGGAAAGATCACAAGTAGAGAGCCTAACAAATCATCTGAGAGAGCCAGAGAGAGAAGACCACCAAAACCCCAAATCTAACAGAAGAATCCAAATCACCAAAATAAGAGTGCAAATACAGGACACACAAGACAAAAATACCACAAAAATATCAACAAAACAAAAAGCTGGTTTATTGAAAGAATTAACAAGATTGATGGACCCCTAGCCAGAATGACCAAGAAAAAGAGAGAAAAAGCCCAAATAAACACAATCAGAAATACAAAAGATCAAATCACAACTGACCACAAAGAAATAACAAAAGATTATCAGAGATTACTATGTATACCGACAAGGAAATAAACTTGATAACCTAAATGAAATGGAGGACTTTCTAACATCACACAACCTCCCCACGCTGAAACAAGGAGACACTGAGACACTAAATAGACAAATAACAACCCAGGAAATTGACTCTGTCATACAAAAACTACCTAAAAAAAAAAAAAAAAAAGCCCTGGATCAGATGGCTTTGCAGTGAAATTCTACAAAATGTACAAGGAGGAGCTGATACCAAATCCTACTGAAAATATTTCAGGCACTTGAGAAAGATGGAATTCTCCCCAAATCATTTTATGAAGCTAACATCACACTGATACCCAAACAGGGTAAAGATGCAACCAAAAAAGAGAACTTCAGGCCAATATCCTTGATGAACATAGATGCAAAAATCCTCAACAAGATTCTAGCAAATCAAATCCAAAAACACATCTCAAAAATCATCCACCATGACCAAATAAGCTTCATCCTCAGGATATAGGGCTGGTTCAACATTCACAAGATCATAAATGTAATTAAATACATCAACAAATGTAAAAACAGGAACCACAGGATTATATCATTAGGTGAGGAAAAAGCTTTTGATAAAATCCAGCATCCCTTCTTGATAAAAACCCTCAAGCACCTAAGTATAAAAGGAACATACCTCAAAATAGTAATTGCCATTTATGATAAACCTACAGCTAACATATTGCTAAATGGACAGAAACTGGAAACATTTCTCCTGAAAACTGGAACAAGACAAGTCTGCCCACTCTCAACCCTCTTGTTCAACATTGGGTTAGAAGCCCTGGCAAGGGCAATTAGAAGATAAGAGAAGGAAATCAGGGGTATCCAAACAAGAAAAGAGGAAGTCAAGTTATCCCTCTTTGCTGATGATATGATCCTATACCTTGAAAATCCAAGAGAATCTGTCAAAAACCTGCTTGCCTGATAAAGGACTTTGGCAAAGTCTCAAGGTACAAAATAAATGTGCAAAAGACAGTTTCACTCCTACACACCAACAACAAGCAGACAGAGACCCAAATTAAAAGCATGATCCTATTCACAACAGCCACACAAAAAATGAAATACCTCGGCATTTTCCTAACCAGAGAAGTGAAATACCTTTACAAATGGAAAAATATTCCATGCTCATGGATAGGAAGAATCAACATTGTTAAAGTGTCCATCCTACCAAAGGCAATCTACAGATTCTATGCAACACTCATTAAGCTACCAACATCATTCTTCTCAGACCTGGAAATGACAATACAGAAATTCATATGGAAACATAAACAACCACAAATAGCCTTAGCAAAAGAAACAAAGCAGGAGATATCACACTTCCAGACTTCAAACTTTACTATAAGGCTACAGTAATCAAAACAGCCTGGTATTGGTACAAGAACAGGCATGTAGACCAATGGAACAGGATAGAGATTCCAGAAGCAAAGCCTCAATTTCTCAACCAACTCATCTTTAACAAAGCCTCCAACAACAACCACTGGGAAAAGGAGAATCTATTCAGTAAATGGTGCTGGGAAAACTGGCTGATCACATGCAGAAGATTGATACAGGACCCCTACCTATCACTGTACACAAAATTTAACTCTAAATGGATCAAAGACCTAAAGGTAAAACCTTAAACGATAAGAATCTTAGAAAGCGCAGGAGACACCCTTATGGAAACTGGAACTGGCAGTTTCAGAACCCTAAATGTCCATACCTTAAGAAATAAGATAGTCAGGTGGGACCTTATCAAACTAATGAGCTTCTGCAAAGCAAAAGAAACCATCAAAAGAGCAGGGAGACAGCTCACAGAGTGGGAAAAAATATTTGTCAACTTTATTTGACAAAAGTCTAACATCCAGGATCTATAAGAAACTCAAACACACTGAAAGGAAAATAACAAACAGCCCCATTATAATAAAAGTGGGCAAAAGACATGACTAGATACTTCTCAAAAGAAGATATATGGGCAGCCAACAGTCACATGAAAAAGTGTTCAGCCTCACTCATCATCAGAGAAATGCAAATCACAACCACACTGAGATACCACCTAACCCCTGTAAGAATGGCCATCATTAATAAAACAAATAACAGATGCTGGCAAGGACGTGAAGAAAAAGGAACACTTCTACACTGCTGGTGGGAATACAAATTAGTGCAACTGCTGTGGAAGACAGTGTGGTGATTTCTAAAAGAACTAGAAATTGACCTTCCATATGACCCAGCAATTCCCTCATTGGGAATATACCCAGAACTCAAATAATTCTACAGAAAAGATACCTGCACACGAATGTTTGTTGCAGCTCTATTCACAATAGCAAAAATATGAAACCGACCATGTTGCCCACTGAAGCTGGACTGGATTTTTAAAATGTGGTACATACACACAATGGAATATTATGTAGCCATAAAGAAAGACAAACATATGGACTTCGCAGCAACTTGGATGGATTGAGTCGATCATACTCAGTGATTTAACACAGAAACAAAGAACAGAATACCATATTGTCTCACTCATAAGCGGACCTTGAGCAATTATAATACTATAAGAAAAGGATTGGCAGTAGTGGGAAATTGTCAGGGGAGGCGGGGTGGGATAGGCAGTTGAGGAAAACTGCTAGGGGACGGAGGGGCATACTTTATCAACTAGGGTACCTGCATGATCAATGTTTGTATACCTAACCCTGAATTGTACCCCACATCTTTATAATAAAAAAAAGAAAAAGAAATGTATACATTAAACAATATGAGAAGACTATTATTTAAATTTAAAATGGTTAAAAAATAACGATCAACCTAACATATACACTTTTGGAGGGCCTAATGCTTTCATGTCTATATGACACTTCAAGAAATAACTGTTTCTCTCCATGGCTTTTATCTTATTTTTTGCCTTCCTTCTTTTGTTCTTGGGCTTTTTTGGTTCCAATATTTCCTCCAAGCCCCATCTGTGAGTTGTGGCATAGCTTTCCACTCTCAATCCTTATCTGTCAACTTTTAAATTAATAACACATCCTTAATTTATTCTATAACTAACTGTTGTCCACTTATTTGCAAAACATGTCATAAATAAAAGTTTAATTTATGGCTTTTCTTACTATTGTATGAGGTTCTTTGATGAACAGATGTCTTAAAATTTTAATGTAGATATATTTATCATTTATTTTTGGTTTATGCTTTGGTTCTTTTATTTTTTCTAAAA